AGTTTAAAGCGCATAGTAATAGAAAGAAGGTAAAAAAGCAGGTGCAAGCTAAAGTAGGTAAGCTATTCTAAAGGCGCTATAGATAGTGCAATTAGACTAGGCATAACACGCAAATATGTAAGTAAGAAGTAGAAGTAGTATCTAAATAATATTCTAGGCTGTACTGTACTATATAGTGCTAGAGCAGATTGTTATAGGCTATAATAGAGTTTGTTAGGGTAGGGTCATGGCAAAAGTAAGTAACTTAGGTGTGTAAGCAACTCGCCTGTGAAGTACGTTTGTCAGATATGCGCACCTACTGTCAAGACAGGAGGAACGCTGGACGAAAGCTGCTACATAGTACGAGCAATAAGCTCGAACAGTATGTTGCTGCAAATTGCTGCATGTTGCAGCATTTTGCAATATTTTGCAACAAATTGCAGCATGTTGCAAGCTGGTCGCGCATAGGGCTAGTGCGCGAGGGACTCGGACCGGAAAAACAAAGCTGAGCAACACGAGCAGAGCAGACAAAAAAAAAGGATTAATTAATCAATACAATCAATCATCATCCCATACATTATATCTAAAACCTATCATTCATCTTAGGAAGCCTAGAAACAGTGCTTTAATCTAACAACGTTATTATAACTTATTATAGATTAAAAGAAACTAATCTAGTGCTTTAAACCTTTTCTTAGAAACTACTAAAACTAATTACAGCATTATAGTCTACTTGAAAGTATAGTAAAAACTTTATTATTATAATATAAGTAATTTAGTTATGTATAAAGTTTTTAGCTTATTGCCTATACGCTTTTTTTAAAAAAGGTAAAACAACGTACATTAAGTAGCTATAAGAAGTGTAATAAGTAAAAAAGTATATAGATAATAATAATTTTCTTATTTTTATAGTATTAATAAAATAAAGTAAGTTATAGCTTTTATAGCTATTAATAACTAATAGATAGTAGCTACTAACAGTACACTTTTTTATATGCATGTTAACGTTTCCTAACTAGTCTAGACTAAGCTTATTAGTAGTCTAGCTATACTTAAAAACTATAATCACTTAATTCTATAGTAGATTTTTTCTTATTATACTAGTTTAAAAAGGAATTACTATTTTAAAAATAATAAAAAGTAAAATAGCTTACTGTAATAAGGTAGGCGCCCCGCCTGCTAAGCTGATACTATACAACTTTCCCTACTGTACTAAAAGGTACGCACGAGAATACTTAAGCTAAGTATTCTCGCATAGTATAATATATATATAGGTAATGCTAGGGTAAGCACTAGCACTAGCGGTTGTCTCTAGCCTAGCCTAAACCTCTATAAGCAAGAGAAGGCCACGTGGTTGACTGTGCTAACCTTGTTACACTACCCCCCTTAACAGTCTTAGTCTCTAAGACCTTAAGGCTAAGGATATATATCTGCTCTACTTTAATTATAGCCTTGCTATAATTTAAGCTAGAGTAATTGTTAGAACTTAAACTCTTAACCTTTAGGTAGCTTAAGTATTATGTAATAAGGTAGGCGCCCCGCCTGCAAAGCTAATACTATACAACTTTCCCTACTGTACTAAAAGATACGCACAAGAATACTTAAGCTAAGTATTCTCGCATAGTATAATATATATATAGGTAATGCTAGAGTAAGCACTAGCACTAGCGGTTGTCTCTAGCCTAGCCTAAACCTCTATAAGCAAGAGAAGGCCACGTAGTTGACTGTGCCGACCTTGTTACACTTACTTTCTAGTATTAATGCTTTAGATAGCTGTTGTCTACTTCTAGTTACCTAGTTAGACTGCCTTTAGCTGTTTTTAATTCTTTTAAGCTATAACAACTACTCTAGTAAACATTTAGCCTATTATAACCTTTATTTTACTAAAGGTGTACATGTTATTATTTTTAATGCTATAACGTACTTCATAGGCAAGTTGCTTACACACCTAAGTTGCTTACTTTTACTAAGACCCTACTAAGCTACTTTTTCTACACTAATGCATTTCTAACAACACTACTTAGACACACTAAAACAATGTTAAATATAGCTTACACTTTAAGCTTTTAAATAAAATATAAAACTTTTAAAAAAACATGCTGCAGCTATGTATAAAGTTTTTTAAAAAATAATAAATAACTATAGCGCTAGATAACCTTTATAAGCTAATTCTATAACTAACTTACAAAGGCTAGGTAATAATAAAAAGAAGGTAATTATTAAAACTATACTTAAGCTATATGCGCAAAAGATTTTCTTTTAAATAGCATTTACAGCTAATATAGCTAATTCTTTACATGCTAAGTATAATCTAAGCTATATTAGTATAAACTAGCTTAGTATGTTTAGAAAGTGTTATCTAGAGCTTAAAGTAACATTTAAGTGTAGTATAACTATAAGAGAGCTCTCTATAAGAGTCTTAAAGTAATTTAAACTAGGTTTAGCTCTATAGAGAATATTAAAGCTAAGTATAGCATCTAGAATAATAACATGTATAACTTTAGTAAGACAAGCTTTATTATAAGCTAAATATTTATTAACTATACTTACACTTAAAACTTTACTTTAAGCTTTAAATAATGCTTTATAAATGTACTAGGCTAGTTTATACTAATATAGCCTAAATTATGCTTAGCGTGTAAAGAATTAGCTATATTAGCTATAAATGCTATTTAAAGGGAAAATTCTTACACATATAGCTTAAGTATAGTCTTAATAATTACTTTTTTTTATTATTACCTAGCTTTTGTAAGTTAGCTATAGAATTAGCTTATAAAGGTTATCTAGCACTATAGTTATTTATTATTTTTTAAAAGACTTTATACATAGCTATAGCATGTTTCTTTAAAAGTTTTATGTTTTATTTAAAAGCTTAAAGTGTAAGCTATATTTAACATTTTTTTTAGTATATTTAAGTAGTGTTGTTAGGAATATATTAGTATAAAAAGAGTAGTTTAGTAGGGTCTTAGCAAAAGTAAGTAACTTAGGTGCGTAAGCAACTCGCCTGTAAAGTACATTACTTAGCTTTAATATTTTTCATAAGGCTAAACTAGCTTTAAATTACTATAAAATCTTTATAAAAAATTTTATAGTTATACTTACACTTATGCTTTACTTTAAGCTTTAGATAACACTTAATAAATATACTAAACTAGTTTATGCTAACATAGCCTAAATTATGCTTAGTGTGTAAAGAATTAGCTATATTAGCGATAGCTACTAGCTAAAGGAAAATCTTTATCTATTTAGCTTAAGTATATGCTTAATAGTTACCTACTTGTTATTATTATCTAGCTTATAAAAGTTATTTTATATATTAGTTATTTATTATTTTTAAAAGACTGTATACATAGCTATAGTATGTTACTTAAAAAGTGTTATGTTTTATTTAACAGCTTAGAGTATAAGCTATATCTAATATTTTTTAATATGTTTAAGTAGTGTTATTAGAAATGCATTAGTATAGAAAAAGTAGTTTAGTATAGTTTTAGTATAGTTTTAGTATAGTTTTAGTATAGTTTTAGTAAAAGTAAGCAACTTAGATTTGTAAGCAACTTGCCTATAGTGTACGTTATAGCTATTAAGTAGAAGAGTTAATGTTGTATACAATTATCCGCCTATATATATATTCTTCTCCTGTGCTAGCTAGAAGGTTAACCTTTTAGCAACGCAACAGTTATAAGCCTAGTTTGCAGCGTAGTGTAGATAGTTAGCATATAAAATTTTTTACACTCTTGCTCTACTAATAAGAACGCATTATTCTTAAACTGTATGTGTTTAATTCCTATCCTTAGCAGGAACATTTAGGTAGTGTGCTTAGTACAGAGGCTACCTTGTATTTAGATCTCTCTCGTTCCACTGTTCGAACTAGAGAGTGTGTCGCATACAATTATCCGCCTATATATATCCTTCCGCTGCGCTAGGTAGAAGGTTAACTTTTTTAGCGAGGCTACAGTTAATTTATGTCTTTATTAACTATATAACTATAGTTAAGTCTTTACTAGCCTACTACATAGCATATAACACTACTTTTAGGCTAGAAAATATCTAAGCAGACTTTTAAAGTATAGAATTAGTTTTATTTAACTTAAAAAGTGTAATTAGAAAGCTTAATATATAATTATAAACGCTAACACCTTTTTTTAAGCTACAATAGGCTATAGCAGCCTAGAATACTATATACTATATTAAACTAACTTTATTAAAACTTAGTTAATAAAGTATTAAAATACCTTACTTAGCTTTTAATAATAAAGCTTTTAATAATATAGCTTTTAACTAGCTTATAAAAAGCGCTAAAATAATAATACATTTAGTACCCTTTTTAAAAGATTAAGTTGCAACACTTTAAAAAGTAAAAAAAGCTACATTACAGTATAAAGTGTAAAAAAAAATTGTATTTAAAATAAAAAAACTTTTATAGTTATAGATAAAGTAGACCTAGATTAGATATTAACTAATATGTAAGATATAAAAGAAATAGGCTAGAATAGTATAGAATTAGCTACTATACTATTAAATTAACAACGCTGTAGCTACTGCTACTAATAAGGTTATTAAGTTAAAACTTATACTATTTATAAAGTAAATATTACAAATTAGCTTTTTTAATTATTATTTAATTAATTAATGTAGTGTTGTAGGGTAAAATATAATATAAGTATAAATTTTTTATTAGAGTAGACTATTTACTTGTGTAGACTACTTACTTATAAAATATGCTATGCTTTATAATAACTAATATTTTTTAATTTGTTAATTTTTATTAGCTAGCTTTATAATTATATTATAAAACTCTAATATTAAGTTTTTAAAAAAGTGTAGTTTTACAAACTTTATAAATTACTATAGTAAATTAAATGCTTGAAATTCAGCTTTTTTAAGTTACTTAAAAGGTTAAAAGTATTTAACCTTCTCTATTCGTGTATTAAAGGTTAATTAGTAGATGCATTATTAATTAAAGAACAAAGTGCTAAAATTTACAACATACTCGAATTATAACTAGAGTACATATTCCCTAATTAGAGACCATCTAGTCTAAATACACTATCGGAAATCCTCACATGTTCAAATATGTCTTTCATTTCAGTGTCTTGCGCAGCCAGATCGGGAGGAACTTGGACTATCTCCTCGCTGAAATTGCAAAATAGTAGCACTTAGGTGTGAGGCGCATTTGCTAGACTACTGAGAATGGAAAACAATTCCTGCTTGGCCTAGCACTTGAAGATTCTTGCAATGCCTGTTAATCAAGTTTATGTTGGGAAACCTCATTTTTAATGCAATTCCCTATAGAGATATAGTCATTAAACGTTGCAAATACATATATGAGTAGATAAAGACGACAAATTCCTATCTACTATGAAATGGGTTACAGAATGGGTGCTCGCCAATACCCTACCTAAGCCATTACGAAATCACATGGCGCTGTCACTCTCCTCTCTGGTAACAAGTCCGAGAGAAGTGCTTGAACCTGGGATTCCGCTGGATCCAAAAGTGTGGGAGAGTCTGGAGTATGTAGCGAGTCGGGCGTTGAATTGGGGGCTCGTGGGTGTACCGATTTGTGAGTTCCGAATTCCATTTCCCGAAGGTCGCGCATGACACGTCCCAGTACGGCGGACGCCGTATGAAGGCCGGAACGAGAAGTATCTGCATCTGTCCATGAATTATTCAAGAGCAATTATGGCGAGCCCGATTATTTCGTTCGTTCAGGATTTTCTCAAGCCAGTATTTGGACCCTTGATTGCTCGTAAGGGAATCAAGGGCTGTGAAACTTGCATCGATGTGCTGGTCCCATTATTCAAGGGGAGGATTGAAAAGTATCGTAGTAGCTTGGATGCTCCTGCAAGCTTCCCTTCTCTTTTTACCCTCACGAGAGACCTCATTAGTAATCCTACCATCAGAACGACATCATTCAATCAGTGATTCAAGGATGTTCAAACCCTCCCAATGCCGCATATATGGATCCCCAACAACTCGCCCGCAGTATCGAAGTCCTAAACTTCAATGCCGTCCCTCCAGCAGGTATCAGTGTGTCCAACCGTTAGTTACGGAGCCTTTTGGAGGCTGTATAGTACAGTTACGGAAGAGGAGGCTGTTACTAACTAACTGTACAGAGGAGATGACGTTAGTGTACAGTTAGGATACAGTAACTAAAGTATATTAAAGTATTATAAAGTAATTGCGCTAAAGCTAAAGACCATACCTAATTAAAAAGTTATAATACCTCTTATAAGGTCTACTATTATTAATCTTACTATTTTAATATACTTTATAAGCTTAGTTAGCTTACTAGTAACAGTGTTATTACATAACTAATTCTTCTATAGTTAAAAAGCCTTTATTATTAACACTAATAGTTAAAAAATTTTTATTATTATAATAGTCTTTTTAGCTTATAAGAAGCACTACTTACACTTACATAAAGTTACTAAAATTAATAAAAAATTAAAAGTAATTTTATAAAAAATAAAGTAGTAAAGTTAACTTTACTACTACTACTACTTAAGTAGCTAAGTAAGCAGCTAATCTTTAGCATACTTATTTTTTACTAAAAAATTAACGTACTTTATAGGCAAGTTGCTCACACACCTGAGTCGCTTACTTTTGCTAAGACCCCACCCTAACAAACTCTATTATAGCCTATAACAACCCGCTCTAGCACTATATAGTACAGTACAGCCTAGAATATTATTTAGATACTACTTCTGCTTCTTGCTTACATGTTTGCGTGTTATACCTAGTCTAATTACACTATCTGCAGCGTCTTTAGAATAGCTTACCTACTTTAGCTTGCACCTGCTTTTTTACTTTCTTTCTATTACTGCGCGCTTTAAACTCCTTTAAAGCTATTAAGCGCAAGCTTTTCTAAATTATTAAAGTCTTTTTTACTTTAATTTACTTTTTTTTATATAATTTATGTTACATAGCAGCCTTATTAGCTACTTAAAGCTTAGTAATTTTCTATTACACTAACACTAGCTTATGCGTAATTATTACTACTTTTGTTAAAACCTTTTTAAACACCTTAACTATAAAAGTTAGTAAACTATTTATATGCTTTTAAATTTTTATCTTTATAAGCATTAATTATAACTTAAGTTTTAGAGTATTACTTAAAGTTTACAACTACTAGAGCTTATTATATATAAGTAGTAGTAGTAATAGAGTGTATAACTTTACATTAAGGCTTATTATAACTTATTATAGGTTAAAAGAAACTAATCTAGCGCCTTAAAACTTTTCTTAGATATTACTAAAAGTAATTATAGCATTATAAGCTGCTTTAAAGCATAGTAGAAACTTTATTTTTATAATATAAGTAATTTAGTTATGCATAAAGTTTTTAGCTTAGCACTTATACACTTTTTTTAAAGAAGTAAAATAACCTACATTAAGTAGCTATAAAAGGTGTAATAAGTAAAAAGGTATATAAATAGTAATAATTTTATTATTTTTATAGTATTACTAAAAATAAAGTAAGTTATAGCTTTTATAGCTGTTAATAACTAGCAGACAGTAGCTACTAACAGTACACTTCTTTATATGCGCGTTAAAGTGCTTTAACTAGTCTAGACTAAGCTAATTAGTAGTCTAGCTACGCTTAGAGATTATAATAACTTAATTCTAAAGTAGATTTTTTTTTATACTAGTTTAAAAAGTAGTTGCTACCTTAGAAAATAATAAAAAGTAGAATAGCTTACTTTTTAGAATTAATGCCCTAGATAGCTGTTGTCTACTCCTAGTTGCCTAGCTAGACTGCTTTTAGCTATCTGTTACAATCCTTACTTCGGGAAAATGGTATTTCTGAAGTACAACGGCCTATATAGAATTAGCGGAGAGGGGATAAGAACTTAGCTGGATCAGGTGTACAGTCTGTTAAGCAGAGTGAAGGATAGTTGGGATTCAGGGAGGCAGGCTGTGGTTTAGTCCCTATAGCTGTATAGGTAGCTGGGTTTTTACTAGTTAGGTAGATAAGGGTTAGAGGTATATATGTTGCAAGATATATAAGGCAGCTTAATCCTTTTTAGAAAGGATTTAAGCTTTTTAGTCTATTGTAAAGAATAAACTAAACATTAATTATAACCTTTAAACTATAGTTAAGATTAAGACTATATACATAGTAATTGCATGTATTGCATGTGTTGCATGCGCTGCATGCAACACCTGCATTTACCTGCAATGCCTGCTTTGCCTGCAATACTCTAGTCCCTATTAGACAGTGCATTCTGCTAAGCATTTATCTATAAGATTGCACTATTTGTCCTCTGTTTAGTTATAGGGTCTGTTAATTGCAGAGTTAACTATTTTCTATCTACTATGCTTAGGGCTATGTGCCATAGCAAGCTAAGTTATTATAGTCTGTTTGTTAGCTGTAACACGCAGGCTTCTCTTCTAGTTAGCGTCCTTGCTGTTATATTTTTCCTGTTGCAAGCGTTAGGTTTTCTCTTTAAGTAGTGTATGTCCTTCTGTAAATGCCTAGCGTATGTTTATTGCTTTTAACTATGCCTTATTAGGTTTCTTATCTTTCTGCTGTTAATTATTGTCTTTGTACTATTACTTGTCTTAGTCCTTATTGTTGTATAAAAATGCGTCCTTGTAGTCCTTGCTAGTTGCATAGTACGCCTTACGTGATGTCCTTGTTATTAGATAAGTGCGTAAAGTGTATGCAGAAAAGTAGTTGCTGCAACACTTTTGTTTCTAACGCAGCTTAGAATTGTCTAGAGCGTGAGGAAAAAAGGTTGCGTAGGGAACTAGAGGCGGCAGCAGAGAAGGAGATAAATAAGAAGGAGAGGGAGATGCAGGAGCAGGCTAAATCCTTAAGGCGTCTTTAGTCCTTTGTGGCTTAGCAGGAATAAGTTTAGAGACAACTAAAGGTGTTAAAGGATTAAAGGGCAAAGTATTTAGAAGGAGACCTCTTATTGCTAGATAAGCTTAAAGCGCTTAAGGCAGAGGCAGCAGGTCTTCCTCCTCCTTAGCCTGCGTTAAAGGGCTGGGGGCTTCCTACATTGCAGCTATCTAACATTGCTGCAGTTTTGTCTAGTAACAGTGTTTTCTAGTCTAGGGAGCTTTTACTAGGATAGTTTAATCTAGAAGGCGTAAGTGATATTCCTGTAGCGCCTTCTAGGCGTTTCTTAAGTTTGTAACAGGCTCCTAGGTGTTTTTATAGGTTAGGTATCCTACCTATTTTACTAGGTAATAATTTCCTTCCTTATCTAAGATCTTTTTAACTTTGTATTTAAGTTCTTTTTTATTCTATCTTTAAGTTGCTAATAGAACGCTTTTAGGCGCTAGCTCTAGTTTAGAAACGTGGAACTATAGGAAGATTCTTATGTCTTTAGGTAGTTTAAGCTTACATGCCTCTAGGCAGGTTTAGATAACCTTGTAGGGTCCTATGCGTCTTTTAGCTAGCTTTTGTGCTAGCTAAGGATTTTTAAGGTTTATAGTATTTAAATATACATAATTATAGGGATGTATTTCTAGCACTATTTATTAATGTTAATTTGCTAATGCTTCTATAGCTTTTGTTGTAAGTTAAGCTTTTTTACCTAATTTCTAATAAATTTCTAGAAGTTATGTTGTCTAGTTTAAGGCTTTTAGTAGGTCTATTAGCTAGGTTCTAGAGAGCTTGTATCTGTAAGGGTAGCTAAAATTTGCTTTGTACAGGGTTATTTTAGTTAAGGTAGATTATGTAGTGTTAATAGCTAACTGTGCTATTAGCAACTATTTAGGCTAGTCTGTCTGCTTATGTAAGATGTATTTTTATAAGTACTTCTCTATTTCTATGTTTATTTGTTCTGTTTGTCTATCTGTCTAAGAGTAATAGGCTGTGGAGAGTTTGTGGGTTATTTTAAGGTGTTAGACTACAGTTGTCTAATACTTGCTAGTAAAGAGTTTATCTTTATCTAAGATAATAATTTGCAGGCATTTGTAAGTTGCAAAGAGATTTTTTTTTAGTTTAAACATAAATTCTTTTGTAGTTATGCTTTTTTCTGTTGCCTATATAAGGATAAATTTAGTAGTTTTGTTAACTATCACTGCAATTGTGTTGCAAAGCCTTTCTATGCTAGGTTTGCAGGATAGTGGTAGTCCTGTTATAAAGTCTATTGTTATTATAGTCTAGAGTTATTTAGGTGCTATAATTAGCTAGAGTTGTCTATATAGTTTGTGTCTTTAGGGGTTGTTCTTATTGCACAGATTACATTCTTTATTTTTCTTTAGAGCAATCCTATCCTAGGGTGTCTAAACATTAGGGCCTTATAGTACTCTTTAATAAGGTTTTTCTATTTGTGTTTAGTAATTGTTAGGGAACAGATTAGCCCTTTAGGTTCTAGTCTATTGTATACTAGACCTTAGTTAGTTTCTTTAAAAATTGCAAATTCTTCTGTGTCTTCTTCTAATTTGTTAAAGTAGTTAAGATGTCTGCTAAGAACATCTGCTTGCTAATTACTGCTTTTAGGGATATGCTTAATAACAAAGTTAAACTGTGCTAGCTCTATCGCCTATTATACGTGCATTAGAGAGAGTTTCTTTGTTGTTAGAAAAGTAACTAGGTTAGCGTAGTTAGTATAGATAACAAATTATTACTTAAGTCTTTACAGTTTAACTTCTTAATTCCTATAAGCATTAACTATAGCTTTAAGTTCTTTGTCTAGTATAGTATACTTTTGTTCCGCAGGGGCAAATTTTGCTAAATAGTATGCTATAGGGTGCTAATAGCTATTTTCTTGTTTCTGTAGAAGGGCTGCCCCTTTAGCTTGTTTTAAGGCGTCTGTGTGTACTTTAGTTTTAAGAGTTAAGTTGTATATTTAGAGGACTAGGTAGCTAGTAATAATTTTTTTTAGTTCTTTAAAAAATTAGTCTATTTTAGTTATCTACTAGAACTTGTGCAATGCTTTTTCTTTTATTATAGCGTTAGTAAGTAGGAGTGCTATTTTAGAATAATCCTTAATTATCCTTTGTATATAACCTGTTAGTTTAAGGAATCCTCTAATCTTAGTAATAGATCTAGGTACAGGCTATTTAAGCACTTTAGCTACTTTTTTTA